ATCATATACAATTTTTGGAAGTTTCTGAACAAATCGAGTAACCGAATATTTTCAGGAAAAAGGCCGGTCCACGAGCAGAAGCAGGTTTAAGAAATCCAAGGAGAGTTCGTAGAGCCTCGCAAGAATCGAGCAACGAATTCCTGCATGTAATGTTGTGAAAATCGATCTTTTTAACTGCTCCACACCTTTTCTTTTTCGTTTTTGCATTTTGGTCCCGTAGGTTTCTTGTTCTATCTTTTCAATGATTGTGTTGTTTCGATTCCTCCCAAAGGAGGCCGATGGCAACGGCCAACTGGCCCGTCGGGCTCAAGTCGGGCCCACCAAACTACACAGGCGGAAAAGTGGGCTCGAGCCCAAAACGGCCCAAAAGCAACCGTATGACACCAAGTCAGAAGCCTCACAGACAACCCAAATGTCTCACGGGTCGAGCATCAAGTCGGTCCCTGTCCAGGTGTCAGCCTCGAGCGGCTTCGCATGGGCCAAGCGGTCCAAGCAGCACGACGTGTTCACGAGGCCCATCTCGAGAGGTCCGAAGCCATATTTGGCTGACCCATCAAGCATACTGCATGTGAATGACGTACTGGGCTCGGACGGCCAGGAGACCGACGAGTCTTCAGGCCGGGCCTACGTCTTGGAGCCCGGGAAACGGGCCCACATCCAAAGGGCCGACACTTTTGATTCGCATGATGTGTATGAGTCCCCTGAATTGCCAGAGGTGACAGAAAGACTCGATTTTTAATAGAATTACGTACAAATTGTGCACGATAACTTTGTGTTATTTAATTTTGGAATAGGTTTATGGCAACAAGAAGAAAGGGAGAGTTGCATTCTCCGGTCCGATTACGTATGAGTCTCAAGAAATTACGTCGAGGCAGTATGAACAAGCTCGTCAAGTTCATCGTCGATCACGCTTTTACAAAGGTATGATTTTATTTTTTTTCATTTTTTGGCAATAATTCGAACTCCATAGGGGAAGAAAAAAAAAAACAAAATGATGTGATTTACTCTTGATTGTGTGAAGATGACCATTTTATGCTGCATTTTCTGCAGATTAGTGACTGTTGTTCAAGCCCTGGAATGTGAATGAACAAGGCAAATGCTGTATTAACTGTTGCTGGGTTTAGTTGTTTTTTTTTTTTTTAATTTATTTTTTTCTCCTGGGGAGTTTTTGTTCTTTCTAAACTCTGCAACAATTTTTACACAGAATATTGCAGAAAAACAGAAAATAATTGTTCTTTAAAAAAAATGGAATGGGGTGAAGAACTGAGAGCCCAGCACACGGACAGGTGGAAAAAAAAAAGTAAATTAAATGTCTGTGTATATTCAATACATTTACAGATCTTCTTATTTCATTTTTTTTTTTAATCTTTTTTATTTTTTATTCTTCATGTCTAGTTCCTTCAGAATATGTAGTTTTAGAACTTTAGATTGATTGATTCAGTGCATTTCCAAGTGATTTGCTTCAATGCAATTTATTGAAGTTTCTTAAGCTCCTGATTGGTTACATGCAACACTACTGACTATGGCTGAGCATGGGACTCGGAGAATTCCGAAAACCGAACCGAAATCAGTCCGAACCGAAAAATAAAATTTGACCGTTTGACTTTCTCCGAACCGAACCGAAAAAATCATTAGTACGGTTCTGGAGATTTCACAAATATCCGTACCAAGAATCGAACCGAAATGTCCCGTACCGTACCGGACCGAAGAACCGAAATTAAGAACTGAATTATAACATTAGATGTGTTATTAATATATTTTATGGCAATTTTGATTCTATATAATATAGTAATAAATATTAACCTTCACTTGAATTTCATGCTTAGAAATAATTGATCTACAATTGAATTTTTTCGATTATAAAATAATTATTTAAAATAATATGAAAGTTTAAAGAATATTTTTTGTAAGAAATAAAATATTATAATTTATATGAATTTTAAATTTTCAATATTAGTTGCACAAATTTAGTTATAACTAAAATTTAGAGTTACTTATAAAGTTGATTTCAAAATAAAATCCTTAATATGAGGAAATATAATGAATATTGGTTTTATTAAAGCATATAAAAAATAAATAACTAAAAATTAAAGTTACTTCTAAAATTTATTTCAAAATAATATCTTCAATTCTATTTTGAAATCAAAAATTTTATTTTGATATTAAATAACTAAAATTTATTTCTAAAATTTTATTTTGAAATCAATTCTCGAAGTAGCTCTAAATTTTAGTCATTTAATTTTTATATGCTTTAATAAAACCAACATTCATCAGTACTTCCTCACATTAAAGATTTTTTTTTTTTTTTT